CGCACCCACGGACACTCTCACACACACACAACCGCACCCACACAACCGCGCACACTCACACACACCCATGCGTGTGCACACTCCCTCACACACACACACACCTGCTCTGGGGTAAAATAAGGTAAATGAATGTGCACATTTATGCGCAGGAAGGGCTGGCAGTGGTTCAGAGGTGGCAATTATGAGCCAAACCACGGGAGTCAGGCTTTCATCTATGAGAACATTCCCGTAACCTGCTCCTGATATAAATATCCAGGGAGAAAGGCCCCAAATTTCCAGACACACATCCTCTTTGGAGATGACTCTGTCTCTCCCTCCTGAGATGGTCCCACGTCCAGCAGTTCAGGGAGCCGAAACCTACTATACCAGTTTCCAGGCTGGCCAAGTTTCCTGCTTATGCCCTCTCACCCCCTTGGCCCCCTTCCAGGGTGATAAGTCTTAAAGAGCAAAAGGCACCCCCCCGCTTAGCATCCTTCCTTAAGGTTTCCCACAGTAAGCTGTGTGTTTCTGGGAGAAAACATACTGCTCTAATCGCCCCAGCCACCTCCCCACTCCCTCCCCTCCTTGATTTCTCGATGGAGGCATGATGTACAATTTGGGCCCCATGATTCTCTGCCGTCGGGGCCTACCTGTGTCTGTGGGACAGCATCCCTGGTGTCAGCCACATCTCTGGTCTCCAGCCATGACATGCCAGCAGCATCCCAGTCATGGCAGTGGAAAGTGTCCTCAGATATTGTCATGTGTCCTGGGAGTGGGGGCTCCCCCAGCAAGAAACCACTGCTCTACTTCAGGACCTCTTCCAAAGCTTGCCCTGGCTACTCACCCCTTCCACACTTGGGAAAAGACGCCTTGTGGGGTATTCCACGCAAACAATCGGGATGGTCTTTAGATGGGCTAGAGCCTCTGTTGGGAGGGAAGCAGGAGCTCCACGTAAGCCAGGTTGACCCTGATACAATCATTGGGGGACATTTTCAATGGGGTCATGTTGGCTGGCTGGATCCGATGACAAGGCTGATCAGGATCAGGAGGCAACATCCGGAGAGGTTATGGGCCCCCCTCCATTAATGCCCAATATGAGACTTGGCTTGGAACAAATTCATGTAATCCAGTCCCAACCATCACGCAGCTGGTGAATGCGGAGCCTCGAGTCCAGATGATACTTGCCTCTACTCAAGTTGGAGGAAGCTCTAGCCACAGATGCAATCTGTCTATAACCCTCGATTGCCCTTTTTCATTTGGTAGAGGCAGAGGGTACATGCAGCCAGGAGTTACAGGATACAGAGAACGTTCTAGAAAGACACGAATAATGAGGCCTAAAGCCAGACTTCCTGATGGAAAGTCCCAATAAATCAGTGAAGATGTGTGACATCCAATTCTTACCCAAGCATTCAATCCCTGTTGCTTACCTTCCAAAGCTCAGGCCTGAGACAGTGGGTAGTCCCTCCAGGGGACCTGGAGACCACCCGCTCAGCAGGTGATGCCCTGCCCTCTCCTCTCTCTCTCCTCACCTGGGGCAGGTAGGTGGCCGGAGCACCCTTTCCTCTCCTCTCCAGGGGAAGCCTCTGCCGCACTAACTTTCCCATGTTGCCCTCTGACCAGACCCTGCTTCCTCCTCCCTGTATTCCCGTGAAAATAAATTCAATTGGAAACGGTGACTGTCCCAGTCCCAGAGGTGGGCCATCACTTAGGGAGATAATTTTATTCTCCTCCGGCTCTCTGGCCCGGTGATGCCCCCCCCACCCTCCAGCTCCATGCAGATAATGAGGGAAGCAGTGACATACACTCCTTCCTCTGACCTAATTGATTATCCCCACACACCTTGGCGTGCTTTGCATAACCAGCCCAGACAGCAGGAACCCCTTCCAGGCGGAGTGATTGACATATTTTATTTCTAATTGAAGCTTAATCAGAACCCAGGATAGGATTCCCAGATATTATCTCTCTCTTACTCCTTGTTTTTCTCTGGCTTCCTTCTCTCTCTCTCTCTCTCTCTGTGAACCCTACCCCTCTAGCTTCCATTTTCTTTTTAAAATTTTAGATCTGCACAATAAAGTGTGGTCAGGGGCACTTCCTGGGATCCCTGAAAGGAGGGAGAGGAGGGGGTGGCTCAAGGAGGAGGACGGAGACTTGTTTCTGGTGAAATGGGGAGGAGAGCTTCTTCCTCTGCCCTAATTTGGCTAGAAAGCCCATGGGATCTTTTTCGTTTTGATCGCATTCTCTTATGGGGGTCAGTATGGGGCCAAGTGAAGGGCACATGTGTTCTGTGGGACAGAGAAGCCACTCCCAGGTCTCCCCCAGCTTTCCTCTGGCACCCCCCACACCCCGCCCTTCCAGTAGGGGCAAAACTGGTCTCATCCGGGGACCATTATCCCTGGAATGAGCTGGTCTGAAGAGGTGAGCTGGGGGCAGGATTTACACTAGAGAGTCACCAAGGACAGGGGGGCGGGTCAGACCTTTCCGAGCTTGGCTTGGCCTCTCCACACCCACCTCCCTGTGAACAGATGCTTTCCTTCCTCCCTTGGTGGTCGTTCCACGTGGAAAGGCTATCTGCCTGCTGCTGTGACCCCTCCCCCGATCGCCCTGGTCCGGGGACTTACCTTTCTCCCTGGGTTGACCTGGGTCCTGAGGTGCTTGGAAGCCACATACCTCATTGTCATGGTCGAGGGGAGTGGGTGGACAGAATTGTGCCCAGAGGTGAAGAGAGGGGTCTGGGAGTCTGGAATAGTGTATTAGTAGGGCTATTTACTAGGGCTATTTACCTTCCCTGGGCACGTCAGCACGAGACCTGCTTTCTCTCATCGGCCTCTCCTGTGAGGTAGGCGCCATGATTTCCATTTCACAGATGAGGAAATAGAGCACAGAGAAGTTAATTATCTGCCCAGAGTTTCACAGGCTGGAGACTGGAGAGCTGGGTCTGCGCCACAATGAAGCCTGAAGGCACTAGCTGACCGCCCACCTCAAGATACTCAGGCCAACAGCAGAGGCCTCTGCCTGGACCCGAAACCCTGGCCTCTGACGTTTAAGACCCAGAGAGTTGAAGCCCGTTCCATGTGGCAGGCCGCCATGCCCAGTGCCTGAGCTGGACCACAGCCCACTTCTGGGACCTGGGAAGGAGTCTGAACCCCACAAACACCACTGATAAAGAGCTGGAAGGGGAGGGAACCTGGGAGACATCTCCCACCTCTGGGGCAGGGGCAAGAAGGGAGTCGCAGCCTCCCTTGGAAGGTCTTTGCTCAGAGACCAACCTGTTTCACCAGCGCTCTGGGAAAGGCCACCAACTCATACTGGCCACCAACAGACCCTCTTTCCCTCTTGCCCCTAGGGGCCACCACACTCTGTTTACCCAGATTCTGTGGGGTTCCCTGGGGGCCATGCGGGGAGCTGCCTGAGACATGGATGGGGCCTTCCAGGACCTACCCTGCTCTGGCCGCCCCTAGAAGTGTACACTAAATTGAACATGCTGTACCTTGTTCTATGGCTTTGGGTCTGCAAGCTCTTTCCAAACCTCCCAGGGGGCCCGCGGGACTGCCACAGGCCCCCCACACAGGGGGTGGGTGGGGACAAACACCTGATATCCAGCCACCCTGTAAGTTTACCAACTAAACCTGGGGACTGAGGTATAAACAAGGTACCCTCCGCTTCAGCGGCACTCTTCCTGTGCTCCCTACAACTTGTTCAAGTCAGAGTTGGGCCAGGCTGGCGGACTGAAAGAGAAGAGAAGAGGTCGAGGAGGGATAGAGGAAGGGGCCGAGGATGGCCTGGCCTGTCCTGGCTGGAGAGGCCGCCAGAGGTAGGTGCCTAGTGGTGCTTTTGTCCTGTAGAGGGAGCTCCAGCCCCAAATTTCCTGGCTCCCTCCCCCAGCCAGCCCACCCCCGACAGGCCGGGAGCCTCAATCCAGGATACACAGGTACGACCGCCGGGAACACCCCTGTTCCCCTCCACGGGAGCCCAGAAAGCTGTCCTTCCAGGGTACTTGGGAAAAACCCGCTGGGGTGCCAAGACGCACAGATACTACCAGTACTTGGGTCCCCAACTCTCCATTCGAGCTGGGCACAGTAACCAAGAAGAAACGATGGGCATCCCTAGGCTGCCGGCTCCTCCATACCCTCGCCCTACTCACCGCCACCCCACACCCTTGTATCTAGAAGGAAGAGTCTAGGGGCGCAATTAAGTTGGAAGGAGTTTGGACTGAGCAAACCTCAGTTGTGCCTATCTAAGAATGGGGTTGCTGGAGTGATGAGAACTTCCCACCCTAGTCCTTCAGCTTCCAGACCCTTCTCTGAGTCTTTCTGCTTTGTCATCAGAGTGGGCTTTACGGTGGACCGGCAGGGTGGGTCCAACCACTCAGGCTCCTTGGAGGGCATCCTGTCCGTTTCCCCGCTGTCTTCTCTACCCTTTCCCATGGGCGCCCCTGGACTTCTGCAACTGCCTCACCTCCAAGGGCGAGCCCAGGCCCACCACTTCTCTGTCTCCTCCGTCACTGCTCTCCTCGGAAAAAATGGTCTTATTCTCCCTTTCCGCTGATCCCAGTGACTCTTCAAACATGGGGGGTGTGGGGAGTGGATAAAATAAAACAAAACAGAAACCAAATAGATCCATCATTGGTGGGGGGGGGGGGCGGTCAGACAGGCAGCTTATAGTCAAAGTGGCAACAGCTCATTTATTTAGCCAAAAATAGATACTTTCTTGTACAATTTGGTTCACACATATGTACATTTTGCTGTATATACAAAAAAAGTCAGACACGCTTATTCTCACCGAAACTCCACCCCCCAAAATCAACCAAAAAAAAAAAAAAACCCTCACAAACTCAGCTAATGTGGGGTACAGAAGCTATACTTGGGGAGGACTCAGGGGGACTTGCTTTATTTCTTTTTTTCTTTTTCTTTTTGTTTAGTTTTTTTTTTTTAAGGTATTCAGACACGGACATGCTTACAAGTCATAACTATACAGAGCAATTTTTTTTTTTTACAATTATTACAACCATTTAAAAATTTTTTAAAAATAAGTACTAAGACGAGGAGAGAGCCGAGAGGACCAGAGCGGCATCCAGGTGGTTCTGGGGCCTGGAAGAAAGAAGCAATGGTAGTAGTAAGAGTTGCGAGGTACCGGCGCTGCCTAGGACCGGGAGACCCAACCCGGGGGCTGAGGCCAGAGAGAGGTCTGGGAGGTGTCTCAGTGTCAGCTGCGTTCCAGCTGCAGAAGTTGGGCCTCCGGTGTAACTATCAGAAGGGCAGCAAGGCTTCAGACCCGAGGTCTCCGCTGGAAGACCCCTGAGGGGGCGTCCCAGAGCCGCCGCCCGCTCCAGGGGCCTGCTGGCCCGGCCGGGCTCCGGCGCCCACCACGCCATACCCTGGGCCGCGCCGGGGTGCCAGGACCGGGAAGGCCAAGCCGGCTGTGGGCCCGCGGGGACTACGGAGGGCTGTGGGGTTCGTTCACTTGTTAAAGCGCGTCCCGGCGGCCTTCCCCCGGGGGCAAAAGCCGAGTGGGCCTCCGCGTTCGTTCCTCCCCGACGTGCCTGTCCCACCATTGCCCCTACCGCGGGGTCTCTTACCGCCTGGGCACGGGCTGGAAGGCTGTCTTGAGTAACTTTTTCTCCACTTCCAAGGCACTACAGCGATCTAAGGGAAGCGGGGAAGAAAAAGGAAGGCCTTTAGAGCGCTCCATTCCAGCACTCAGGGCCGCTCGAGGCAGGCGCGGGGTGGTACGCGTCCTGCGTCCCCGGGGTCGTGCCCATCTCCGTCTGCCCCCTGGCGACCCCCAGAACCCACCCCCTCCCTCCGCACCCAGCGCTCAGTAGTCACCTGTTCCGCCCTCGGGCTCCGCCGGCCGAGCGAAGGCAGCGGCGGCGGCGGCCGGGTGGCCCGCGGCTCCGGGAAGTCCCAGCAGGTGTGGAGGGGCCGAGCCGAGCAGGGAGAGCGGGTGCGGGCGGGGCCCCGGCGGCGGGCCTGGGAACGGCCGGTTGGTCCAAGCCGGGAACTTGCTCAGAGGCGCCGAGACGAGTCTGTGAGCCGCGGCGGCCGCGGCGGCTGGAGAGAGCTGCAGGGCTGGGGGCGCGACGGCGGCTCCAGGGGGAGAACCCCCGGCGCCCGGAGGCGAGGGGCGCGGGTTGTCCGGGCTTGTGGCCGTTTCGGCCAGGGACCAGATCTTGGGCTTCTGCAGGGCTGAGGCGGGCGCTGGCGCCGGAGCGCAGGGGTCCAGGCCCGCAGGCGGCGAGGGCGGAGACGGCGGGACCGCGGCCACCGGCGGTGGCGCTGGGGCCAGACTCAACACCGGCAGTGGACGCTCCTCCAGGCCCTCCGAGCTGTCGTCCGAGTCGCTATTCTTGGAGTCTGAAATGGGTCTCAGGCCGAGGTCGCCGTCCCTGTGCTCCGCCCCAGCCAAGGCGAGCTCAGGCCCCGTGGCCGCACCGTCTAAGTTCTCCAAATCGATCTCCTCGTCCTCGTCGTCGTCCGCCAGGCCCTCGCCCCCCGTGTCCTCCTCCTCCCCCACGAGCTCCTCCTCCTCCAGCTCCAGCTCGCGTTTGCTGTCTTCTTCGTCCTCCTCCTCGTCTTCCTCCTCGCGCTCGCTCCCGTAGGCGTTGCCCTCCTCGTCGGTGCGGCTGCGAGGCGCCCAAGTCATCTTGTTCTCTTTCTTGAGGCGCCGGCGCGCGTTGGCGAACCAGGTGGACACCTGGGTGAGGGTCATCTTGGTGATGATGGCCAGCATGATCTTCTCGCCCTTGGTGGGGTAGGGGTTCTTGCGGTGCTCGTTGAGCCAGGCCTTGAGCGTGCTAGTGCTTTCCCGGGTGGCGTTCTTGGGACGGGACGGGTCCCCGAACTGGTACTGGCCATACGGGTAGAAGGCGGGGTGCGGGTGCGGAAACGCGGCGGCTGCGGCCGGATGCTGCACCCCCGGGCTGTCTTTCAGCTCGTACTGCGCGCCCTGTACGCACATGGAGAGGGAAGGGACACGCGCGGAGGGAGCGCGGGTGAGCCCTAGCCGTCGCCGCCTCCACCCTCCCGGCCTGGGCCGCGCTCATCTACTCCCGCGCGCTCACCTCTTCCCGCGCCCCAGCTCTCCAGCCCTCCTCCACCCCACCCCGGCTCCCCGGGCGCTTACCAGCTGCGGGAAGATGGGCAGCTCGGCGGCGTAGGGCAGAAAGGCACCGTAGCCTTGGGCGGCTGCGGCAGCCGCTGCCGCCGCGGCATAGGGCGCCCCGTACACGGAGGAGAGCACGTTGGACAGGGACCCAGAGGCGGCCAGCTCCGAGGCTCCGGCTCCTGGGCCGCCCCGGGCCCCAGCGTTGCCGCCGCCGCTGGCGGCCCCCGGGCGCTCGGGTGGGTAGAGCGGACGGATGTACTGGTATCCGAGCTGGGGGAAGGACATGATGGCCCGCGGGGCACGGACGGAGAGGGGGCCCGGCCCCCGGGGCCGCCCTGCTCAGCGCCGCCCGCGGGCTCCGGCGCGCATCGGGGGCTGGGCCGGGCTGGGGCCGCGCTGCCTCCCGCGCTGAGCGGCGCTCCGCGTTCGCCTATTGATCTGTTCCGCGGCGGCGGCGGCGGCGGCGGCGAGGAGCCAGGTCAGGTCCGAACAGATTGGCGGAGATTCCCGGGGCTCCGGGCTCTGATTGACATTTCTACGGGCCCGCAAGCCCCTCCTCTCTGCGCCGCGCTCCCTCCTCTTGCCAGCCGGAGCAGCCTCTGCCCGCGCCTAGCTCCTCACTGCCCTCCTCTCCCCGAGCAGTGTCGCGCCTCGCTTCCTTCGCCCTCCTCTAGTTTTCACTCCCCCTCCTCGCCCTTCCTCTTCCCTCCCTCTCTGCGCTCCTCTTGCCCCTAGGATCGCTTCCGCTCCTTCGGGCTCTTTCACTCTCCTGGACTCTCGGAAACTCTCTTCCCTCTCCTGCTTTTCCGTTCTCTTTATTCCTTCTCTCTTCTCCCCTTTCTGCTCCGTTCACTCTTTCTTCTCTCCTCTTTTTATCTCACTCTGCCTACTCCCATAACTCCCCCACCACCCCCACCCCTGGCCTCGGCGGCGCCCTGGGCTCAGGCAGCCTAAAGTTGGGGACACTTAAGGTGCCGTGCGGGGGGTGTGGATCCGTGGATCGGTGTCTGAGGCAGCGTCTGTGTGTCCGTCCCCGCCCTCACCTCCTCCCCTGCCCTTCCCCAAATCTCGGGTCTGACGTCTCGCCCTCTTATTCGACTTTTCCTCGCGTCTCCTTCCCGAGTCGCCAATCGCCGGGGCGCCTTCCAGGCGAGGCCGCCCACCCCGGAGGATACTGCGCGCAGGGCGGGGCGGGGCGGGGACGCGGGCCCGGGCGCTCTGAGTCCCTGCCCGCCCCCTCCGGCCTGCGCCGGGAGGGGCAGCGGGAGGCGCTGGGACGCGGGTTAGTACTGGGTCAGCTCGCCCCTCCCCGCTGCCCGGCCCTCGGTACCTCTCTCCCCGCCCCAGCGCCGGGCCTGGGTCGGGACCGGATCTCGGTCCAGCGTAGGCGCTGGGGCTTTCCTCGGCCCGGGCCCCCTTTCCGGCTTGCACCTCTAGATGCTAGGCCACTCTCAGCGGAGTAGGGAAGAAGCTAGAGGAGTGGTACGAGGGGCGAGGGGGTGCGTTCTAGTGGAGCCTTCAAAGGCCATCTCATTCCCCAGGGGAGCGAGCAGCCCCCTACCCAGAGCACCAAACCCTGAAATCAGCTACTTTAACGGCGCCTGTGTCCGGGTGCGAACCTCTCATTAGAAATGGCGGGCTCTGCCTCTGCAGGGGCTGCAGTGTGGACCCCCTGGGGACCCTGGGGAGCCAACGCTGGGATGTGGAGCCTAGCGGCGTCTTAAGCGGGTAGGCGTGGGGGGAGGAGCAGAGAGCCAGGTGGAGGAAACTCCGGGAACTTTGCGAGAGCGCTTCGAGAAGTTTGTATATTGGAATTTTCAGTCCGGAGACACCCTTCGTTTCCCTACCCCTTCCTCTGCTCCCTGGTCACCGTGCCAAACTGTTTTCTTTCTGTAGAGATCCTATCACCGTCTCGGGTTGGGATGGCAGGCAAGACTTTTGGTTATCTGTGGGATTATTTCCTCAATCAAACCTGAAATCCCAGGATCCCAACGCCCACCCTCACGGATTAGGGCGTGCAGCCGACCGCGGGATTGAAATTCCCGGAATCGCAGCGACTCCAGGCTAAAAGCTTTAGGCCGCGGCGGCGACCGACACACAGGCCAGGCCTGCAGCGGTAGCGCCCCAGGGACAGCACGGGGGCGGTGACTCGGTCATGGAGTGGCCAGCCCCGGCTGTGAGGCGGAAACTGGCCGCCACGCGCTGATTGATAGAGGAATTGAATCCGAATTCCACCAGAGCGGAGGGATCGGAGAGCCTCGGCCCGCCTGTCTCTCTAGTCTAAGCAGCTCTGGGCAGTCCAGTTCAGGAATGAACTGCCAGTTTTGACCCCACCCCTCACTCCCCTTCTCCTTTCACCGGTCTTCGCACAGGGCAGTGGCTCCAGAGAAGAATTGCGGGCGGGGGGGGGGGGGGGGGGTGTGTGCGGGAGGGAGACAAGAGAAAGTTTGGGGGCCACCAGTTTGGTGTTCTATTGGGGAAACTGACGTGCGGCCTTCTCAAATTCGGGCGAGGTCTTTCCCATATCCCTTCCCCACCTGCTTCTCTGCCTGATACCTGGCGTTGGCCATAGCTGGAGTCTCCCCAGAGGAGATGATATCAGGGGAAGCTGTGGCTTTGAAATGTTTCCCCGGCGCCTGATTTCGTTTCCAGTTAAACCTCTCAGCCAAGTGGCTTCGGGAATCATGGAGTCACCTTCTCACGGAAAATCCAGGGGTTACAAAATTGAGGGTACCATTATTTCCCAGAGTGCTTCCTAGGTGTCCGACCTCGAGCCTCGACGGCCCTGAACCCCAGAGTTTGCACCGAATGGTGGCACCGGACCGCAGAGAGCCAAGAGCCAGATTCCGAGGTGGGGAGACTTTGGGGTGCGCTGTAAATGCCCGGATGAAACGCTTACTTTTTAAAACTCAGCTCTTCCTGAAGGAAAAGACAAAACCATGAGCCGGGGAGATGCTTCCTCCGCATTAACCAGCTATCGACCTGGCTGCGTCGAGCTGCGGAAGGTGGGAAAGAGGCCAGGGAAGGGGCGAGGTGGTTCTCTGTGAACCAACCACGCAGGTCCGAGGGCTCCCATGGCCCAAAAGGAGAACCCCCAAACCCATTCGCGTACCCAAGAACCTCGATTAATCAGGTCCCTCCCGGCGTCCCAGGTCCTGAGCAGAAGCGGCCTTTCCGTTACCCTAGCGTCCCGCAGAGATCAGCCCTGGCCCGGGAGGGAGGTCCGCGCTTTACGTCGGGACTCAGCGTCCTAGGTGGCCGAGCCCCGAAGTGGCACTAGCTCCGCAACTCGAACGGGCCAGTAGAGCCCGGCCCCGGACTGCACTCTCGAGTTCGAGGACAGCCGAACCATTTCCAGAAATTTCTAATCCAAGGGAGGACGTCAAAGTTATACACTCACACAGGGAGGAGAAGCAGGTGCACGGGAAGTTGATTTGGGAAAGTCATGCGCGCAAAAACGCGCCGCACACAAAAGCTTCTCCGTCTTTTCTCCTTCTTCCAACGTCCCCAGCGCACACAACGCTTCGGAGGCTTGCTGTAGACGCTCTCTCTACGCGGCCCCGAGTGTGGCAGTGTACTGAGAGGGTGACCATAGCACACCTTTGGTGCACACAGCAGCGCTCGCTGGACTCGCACCTGGTGCCGCTCGGCCCGACGTCTGCCCAGAGCCCGCGGCCCGCCAGGTTCAGGGGCAGCGCCAAGCACTGCACGCGAGTAGCCAGCCACCAGGCCCCCTTTCTGCCCTCTCCTCGCCCAACCTTACGGTGCGCTAGCTTCCCCGTCGGGGGGCGCCGCTGCAGCCCTAGGTCTCCCCGCCGAGGCCGTTCTTCTGTCCTTCCCTCCCAGAACCGAAGTCCCCGGGCTGCAGTGCGGCCGCCGATCCCTCCGCTTCCTGCAGACGCCGCGGCGCTCGCTCCCACCGCTCCCTCCCCCCCGCGCTCGGGTTACAGGTTAATGAAATGCTCGTTTTCCTCAGTCATTTGTTTTGTTTTCCTGCAAAGTTCTGATAAGTAGCTAACCAACGAAGCTTGTAATTACAATCTTACAGAAACCGGGCCGATCTGTATATAAATCTCACCATCCAATTACAAGATGTAATAATTTTGCACTCAAGCTGGTAATGAGGTCTAATACTCGTGCATGCGATAATCCCCTCTGGATGCTGGCTTGATCAGATGTTGGCTTTGTAATTAGACGGGCAGAAAATCATTATTTCATGTTCAAATAGAAAATGAGGTTGGTGGGAAGTTAATTTCTCTCCGCTCTGTGAAGCGTAGACAAGAATTTAATGATTTAATTACAGTTGTAAGCCCTTTCCATGAGACTTAAATTGAGCTGAGAATATTTTTTTCTTCTCTCTCCCTCTCTCTCCCTCTTCCGCATTCTCTCTCTCCGCTATTAGCAGCGGTGCGGACGCCGGAGTGCGTGGCCTGGCGTCCGCATCGGGAGGGATTTGCATCAGGCCGGAATTCGGACCCCGGGGATCCCAGGAGACACGGGCCGGCGGCCTGCAGAGCCGCCCGGGAATGGGCTGCGGCTCCCCACCGGTCGCCAGGGCCTCGAGGCCGGTCCCTGGGTCCCCAGAAGCGTCGGGGAAACTTTGGGAGAAACTTTGCCAACTTTGCTCTCGGCGGGGGAGAGGCCGCCCGGCCGGCTGCCGCAGCTGCGGGCCGCGACGCGCGCACTGGGCCGGGAGTCAGTCCCAGGCGCCCTGGAGCTGGCCCGGAGGCCCCAGGAGGGGCGCGAGGCCGGCCGACTGCCCCTGGCTCCCCGCTGCGCCCTCGCGCGTCTCCCACCCGCCTGGCCCGCGCCCCCGGGGCTCCGAGCGGCCCGCGACTCGCCGTGCCCAGGATGGCCGGGATCGAAAACCTGGCCCTCAGCGCAAGTGATCTGATTTTTCTTTACCTCTCCACGATCATCCTTTTTCCACCTGACTTGAGCAGTTTCACTGCCTCCCTCTCCTTTGTTTTTCACTGCTTGTCTGTCTGTCTCTCCCACTTTCTAGGTATTCGATTTCTAAGTCATTCATTTTCCTTCTCTTTCCTCCGCTCCCCTCGTTCCTTGTCTTATTTGTTCCTCTGGACCATTTTGCAGTGGCTCCTTCCCTCTGTCCTGATTTTGCCTCTTTTTATCTGTCTACCTCTGCGACGGACCCTCTCCTTCATCCCCCAATTCTCCTTCTGTCTTTCCTTCTCTCTTTCATCCCAGTTTATGTGCTTCTCCGGTTTCTTGGTCTGTCTCTCAGGTTCTCCTCTGCGTGTATTTTTTCTGTTCTCTAACTCTCCAGGACGTGTCCCCTCGCCCCCCACCCCCACCCCGTGGATCTGCCTTCCCCGCGGCGCCCCCTCCTCATCCATCTTGGGAGATGAATATGTCGCCTTATTGGATGCCGAGGCCAGAGCCGGGTGATGGGGCTCGGACAGCCTCGCGCATTTTCTTCATG